TCTTATGTAGAGGTCCTCCTAAAGCCTCATGGGCTCATATATGGGTGGAGCTTTTAGAAGGCAGGTGGGTCTGGGGTATGTGATAAATAAATTGGGTGTGGATAATGGATGCCCCAACCTGGAAGTGGGTGTTACCTATAGAGCTATAGCCTGGATGGAATATAATGGGAGAGAGAAGACAGGCTTGCTTTTTGCTTCACAGCCTCCTGCCTGCTATGCCATGGAATGTTTTTTCTTTGTGGTGCCACTCTGCCATGCCACCCTGCCTTGGAGCCAGCCAACTATGGACTGAAAGTTCTACAAACTGTAAGCTGAAATTAACCTTTTTTCCTTTAACTTGTGGGTGTTGGGTATTTTGTCCCAGCAATGTGAAAAGTAAGCCAAGCTATTTGAACGTATTTGAAATAGCTGATTGAAAATCTTTGTCTTTGTCAAGTATAAAATCTTTGCCTCTTGTGCTTTTCTTTTCTTTCTTTTTTTTTAAAATTATTTTGAAGGTAGTAAAATACAATGGAACAAGACAGAACAAAGCCAATCAAGGCAATGCAGTGAAATTGTTACAGAACTTCACAGCAGGTTACCGGGATAACAGTAATAGGTACCATAGTATATCTTGTTATCTTCACACCAGTTGTCCTTTCAATCAGGTATAGCAAAATCAAACCAAATATAGAACATCATAAAATCTATCAAAACAGAGTACTGAATAGAGCAATACAATTAATCAAAATTAATCAAAACAAAGCAAAACAGTGATAATAATATTTGCCTTCAAAGAGATGATAGAAGGAAATCCCCCATATTTGCTATATTGCATACAATCACCCTCCAAAGAGATGCTCGGACCTCTGGCCCCCATTTGCTAATGAGGGGTAGGGGTGGGGGGCAGTGATATTTGATTCTCAGCCCGCATGCTGGTAGGCTCACAACTGCCTACCAGGGAGGTGAGTAGGTTGCTTTGTTGTCCAGCATCCTAAGTTCCAACGTAGAGTGGATTTCAGGAGACGCTGGCTCCTGGTTCTCTCCCTAGGTCGCTCACCGCTTGCTTGAGCCACAGCTGCTTACCAGCTTCTCATGAGTATGGTTTTTGATCATTTCTTTCTTTCTTGTATATGGAAATTTACTTTCCCCCTTCCTTCCTGCCTTATATGTTGTTGTTGGAAAATGGACATTCTGAGTTTTATAATGTGAAAAATCTGAAAATTAGATTTCCTCTCTTCCTCAGGGCTCACTGTACAAACTAGTGTAGTGATTAGAGAGTTTTGAGAAAAATAAAAGGAAAATTGCAATGAAAGTCACAGTGAAACATTCTCAAAATTGAGTCATAGGGTATGATGGAGCCAGAATTTATGCATATCCAACTGCTGCCTGGAATATGAACTTTGATCATCTCTATCACAGGCACCTAGAATGATCTAAGTGAACAGTTACTTTGTGCCCAGAAGCTCAAGATGTATATCAAGAGGTAATTGAACTCTTGTTTTATGGCCAGGTCCATTTTGCTTGTATACAGAGCTTTCTTCGTCTTCTCAGCTCACAGTCCTTGTTTCTTTCCAACATACAATAGCCCATCCATGCATAAACTCCTACTTTTCCTGTCTTCCTCAGAAAATGATTTAGAGACATCTATGTGTCTCATTGCTTAGGCAAAATACCTAATACCCAAGTTACAGGTGAAAAGGCTTATTTAGCTCATGGTTTCATTTTTTTTTTTCATTACCAGGGATCAAACTCATGACCTCATACTTGCCAGGCAGGCATTTACATCATTGAGCTAGACCCTCAGCCTCTTAGCTCACAGTTTGTAGAGATTTGGTCCATACTGGCTGACTCCAAGGCAGGGTGGCACATGGAAGAGAGCAACAGTTCATGGGAGCAGCAGACAGCAAAAGCAACAAGTGAGCACAAGGCAAGCCTTTTTCTGTCCCTTATATTGTATGCAGGTTACTTCCCCAGGAGGATTAGCATTCACACTTTTAATCTCATTGGATCATGAATCAATCACAATCTCTAGATTCAGCCACCTCTGAAAAGCCCACTCCCCAGCCAATGACTGCAAGAGGTTTTGGGGGGGCATCTAGACATAAATCTCAACATCGTGTTCATGTTTCTCAAGTTGCTATTCCTAAGCACCCCCCCCCCCAATTATTCTAGCCAGGTACGGTTGCATAGATCTGTAATCTCAGCTACTGGGGATGTGGAAGCAGAAGGATTGTAAGTATAAGGCCAGTTTTGGTAGGCTAGTGAGATCCTGTCCCAAAATATAGTATATAAACAAAGAAAAGTCTAAAATGAAGGGTACCTCTGGTGCAGTTGCTACCACTGAGAGAAAAGTCCTTTTACTTTTGTAGTTTCTGAGTTTGAAATGATTGACAGTTTCTTCTGTTTTTTTTTTTTTTCTTTTCTTTTTTGAGATGGTCTCACTACGTAGTCGAGGCTGTCCTTGGAGTTACTATGTAACTTTGACTAACTTCAAACTTGCATGGATCCTCTTGCCTCAGTGTCTCAAGTGCTGGGATTATAGATGTGTTATTACCATGTCCAGTATATGATTGGGAATTTCCAAATAAATTTTCTAATCTGTTTTGTGTAGACAAAGACAGAGATTTTCTTAGATGCTTGGAACAAGAACAATAAAAACTCTCTTGGTCTTTGTAGAAGGGTTCTATTTGCATGTTGGGGATTGCCTTTTATACTCGGTGAGATAATTTACAACTTTGCCTTGTGTCCTCTTTTTGCTTATGCCTCAAGGTTAGCTAGGTAAGACCATTTAAAGGCCTTCTCAGGGCTTGCTGGAGCATGTGCACAGCCCTGTTCATGCGCATAGTCTTCTAGATTCTCAGGAATATGGTGGATCTTTGCTTCTAATTCTCCAGTCTTTCCTATTAGGCTTCTTGGGCAGCCTACCCTTTGCTGAATTATCTACTCCCCCAGGCAGCAGTAAGTAAAATACTTACCTGTACATACAGTATTTTTGAAAAATGCCTTCTGGTTAGAAGCTTTAATACTGGGGTTAGGTTACACAAAATCTGAACTTTGGAGATACTAGAGGGGTAAAAACAATTGATACTCTGTGAGGTCTCTTATGCAACCTCTGGTCCTGGTACCAGGAATGTAGGATATTTTCAAGCATTATACTCAAGCTGAGGAGTATGGAATGAGACTACAGTGACTTAGAAACACCACAAAGCTTGCTGTTCTTAAACATCTAGCACATTTTCTTGAGTAAGTGCTTCTGAGCTGCTACCAGCCTTTGGTTAATTTCCAGAGAGCTGAGAGAGTAGAATCTGAGTTCTGGCCAGTTTTTAAAATTGCATATAGCGAATAGTGGAACTCTGGAGCTCCTTCATCATTTTCCCTTATTGTAATTTTAATACTTACTTAAGGATCAAAGTTACAGGAAATGAGTACCCATCGTCATTTTGGCCTGCCTGGACTGCACTGAGTGAAGAACAACCGCCATGGGCCACGTAAAATATATAACTCGTTAATGCATATAAGAACTAAATTTTCCTTTTTTATATTTTAACTTAATTATTTTATGAAACTACAACACAAACCCCAATTTGTTTTCAAATCTATTTTATTTCAAGGAGAAAAACAAAAAAAAAAGCAAAAAAACTAAGACAAAATTTCAAACCATGTCAATCAGGGGGCAATGGTATATAAATTGTGCATTGTCATTCCCAAATCATTCACCCAGAGCACAAGACACCTGCTTACAATTGTCCAAACAATACCAGCACAAATCCTTCTCTGCACTGAACTGAGAAATCAGTAGTATAACTATCTTCTTTTTAAATATACATATACATACACATATACGTATGTTTTTTCAGCTTCTCACACTAATGAGGCAATATGATGTTTACACGTGTCTTAGTCTAATGAGTATGGTCTCAAGTTGCATCCATTTATCTATAAAAATCTCCAATTTACTCTTCTTTATGGCTGAGTAGTACAAAAATACCAGATTGTTTTGATTCATTCTTCAGTCAATGGGCATTTAGGTTGTTTCCAAGATCTGGCTATTACAAATTGTGCTGCTATAAACATGGGTGCACATATATCACTGTAGTATGATGGTTTTGTTTTGGGAAGATACCCAGAAAAACAGCTGAGTCAAATGGGACTTCTAGACCTGGCCTTTTGAGGAATCTCCACACTGATTTCCACAGTGGTTACACCAGTCTGCATTCCCACCAACAGTAGAGAAGTGTTCCTTTTTCCCCACAGCTCCTCTAGCATTTGTTATTGCTTGATTTCTTGATACTAGCTATACTTTCTTGGGTGAGGTGTTGTTTTAATTAACAAGCCCCAACTCAAAAAGTAAGAAAACTTACACGTCTGATTAATAATCCCTGCCTTGAATGTGGGCAAGTTCAAACAGTATCATCAGTAATCTCCGTTTACTCTCCCAAGCAGGCAAGAGCATGTCAAAAAGGAATTGTCAAGCCGTGGACAGAGACCTGCTGAGACTGCAAACTGTTGTGAATTTGGAGTGGCATCCTTCCCACACCCCCACCGATGCAGGTTCCAGATCTCAGACTCTGGGATATGTGTGTGTGTGTGTGTGTGTGCGTGTGCGTGTGCGTGTGCGTGTGTGTGTGTGTGTGTGTGTGTGTAAGTTAGGGATGGAAGATTCGTCTTATGAAGAAGGAAGGGACGTGTCCACCGGGGCCGAGGCTGCGCTGGATACCTGAAATGACAGATCCTGGGGAGGCAAAGAAAGAGGGTGCCAGGCCGGGTAACCTCCATCCTTGGGCCCTGCGGGTGCAGGGATGGAGGGGTACCAGGCGCGACCACAGCAGCTCCCAGCAAATCTAGAAGGTGACGGAGCGAGCGAACAAGGAGACATGTGGGGACGTCTCAGACCTCAGCGACCACGGAGGTGCAGACGCGACTCCCTCCTCGCCACAATCCCAGGCCGAGCCCCGCCGGAAGCTGGCGCGGGGTCTGCTCCGCCTCGACGCGGGACCCGGAACCGCTCCTCCCGACCCGGAAGCAGAACAGCGCGGCCGAGGCGCCGCCGTGGAGCCACCGCCCCCTTGTCGCTCGGCGGCCCAGTGGGTGCCCGGACCGCGGTGGCACTGGGTCGCCCCGATGATTCCAGGCTGGCGGCGGCGGCGGCAGCGGCAGCGGCAGAGACGGAGGGACGATGACAGCTCCCCGGGAGCGCAGTGCCGACCTGGCTCGTTTCTACACTGTCACCGAGCCCCGGCGACATCCTAGGGGCTACACTGTGTATAAGGTCACCGCCCGGGTGAGTGGTGGTGTCGGGGTCGGGCTGGGGACGAAGCCGGGGTCGGGGCTAGAGGCGCGGGGCTTAGGACGCTGAGGTTCGGGGACTCTGCTCCGAGCCGGGAGTGGGGATTGAGTGCGCCTCGCGGCGGGACGCGCGTGGGGAACGGGCAGGGCGGTGGCAGTAGCCGCGCGCGGGGTGCCTAACTCTGCTGGAGCAGGTCGCGGTGCAGCTCCGCATTCTGGTTTTCAATTGATGACTCAGTTCGCTCTCCCAATTGGACTTTCTCTTGCTAGGAAATTTGCAGAAGTAGTTTTGCTTGCACTGCAGGAATGCAGGAATAAGGCACACTTTAAAAAACTGACTTATTTATTTCAGCGTCCGGTTTGCTTGGAGGCTCATTACATTCTTGGGAAAAATATCTGTGCTAGGCCATAGACCTGTGTATGTGGGCGGTGTGTCTGCCTAGGGCTTTTCCCAGGGCTTTGCAGTAGGAGAGCCATAAGATGTTCTGAGCGGACAGTATGTGAGGGGACATTTAAAAGTTGTGAGGCTGCTTTGCGTGAACGGATCCAAATTTTAGTACTACTTTTTGGTTTATCTTTGCTCATCTTGAGTTGTAAAGTCTGTATTTTTCTAACAGAAGAGGAAAAATAGTAACATCAAATAAGTGCTTATGTATGTAATGAATAATACTGAGCTTTTTATACACATCGTCCAATTTAATTCTCATTTTATTGATGAGGAAGTTGAGTTTCAAGGACATTTAGTAATTTGCCAACTTTGCATCACACACAATAGCGGGTGTGAGGTTTAGAACCATCTCCACCTAACTGCAGGATACAGAATATGTCACAAATTAATTTTAATATTACTCATTTTTAAGGGAGAGAGATACAATTAAGTAATAACACTCCCACGTGTCTTTTTGAAAAATGTCGCTATTCCTGCTTAATAGAGAGCTCAGGAAATAGACTTTGAGAAAAACCTTAAAGCTTAAGCAGATATGGGTAAGGAAGGTCTGGACCCTGGGGATGGTACGTGGTATATGGAAATGATGCACAGACAGATGAGATGGTATGATGAGCGAACTTGTTTAAAGATAAGGCGACCTGGCAGGTCGCTTCACTGAGAATACAGAGAATTTTGCTGCTTCCTGTTTGCAAGTAAGGTGACCACATAGGTGGCGTGTTAGTTGCAAGTTGTGTATGAAATTGTATGATATTATGGGATGCTTATTAAACCGTCTTGAAACCTTTTTGAGTCAATGAGACCTTCATAAATAAGCGTCATAGCAGATTTATGGGATCAGAAGAAAGTTCAGCAGACATGATGTTCCTCTTAGCATCATTCTGTTCCTTAGTGTAACACTTAGCAGAATCCTGTTCGTCTACTTGCATGTTGGTGTCTCTTAGTAGATTTCAAGTAGATCTCTATCACTGGGGCAGTTTTTCTTATTCACTGAGGCAAGCCCATGGGGGTGCCTAAGAGCATGGTTGAATGTTAGCCCTTCCATTGTAGACAGGGTACCCACTGAGTATTTAGTTTAACCAGGCACTAAGCACTCTGAAGGATACAAGCTGACAGAGATGGAACTGCCTTTCCGGGTTACTCAGGGCAGAACGGAATTTCCAGCACTTGAAGAAGTATAATAGTACAGGAAAGTGTTAAGTGTTACCACACAATGCAGAGGAGAGCTGTGGAAATTCAGCAGGCAGATTGCTTCTGGCTCCGGGAGTCAGGGAATATGTACCAGATAAGAGAAGTAGTGAAAGATGGAAAGACTCCAGAGAGAGAGACACACAGAAGGTAGAAGCCCTGAAGTTAGATTCATACTCTGTAGGGAGCACTGAGTATGATAATTGTTTGTATTTTGCTTTACAAAAGTAAAAGCTAACCAAATTCAGCTCTTAAATATCTTAAGCTGTGAACTATTTTTTGAATTGATTTTTATGACAAGATAAATTAGAATATGGAAACAGTGCATTGCCCTAGAAGTAACCAAATGCATATGAAATGGATGCTACATATTGTGTGGCTATTTGAACTTGAAAATGGCTCACACTGCCTTTTTCTCCCCTGTAAATGTTTATGTCGTCATTTATTGCTTAAGTTACAGATTTAAAAAAAAATTAAGTAAAGCTTGAGGGTCAACATGGAGATCTACTTCAAAAATAACTGTGCTTATTTTTATAAAACAAGTAAAATACTTATTATGTTTTAAGATTTAAGGAGAAAAACATGTTTGCTCAGGAGAATTAATCTGGTAAGCATTACTCCCCTGAGAACTTCAAGAGATAAAAATGAGGAGGGTTTTCTGTATGTTTCCTACTACTGATTTAATTCTAGCTTTAAGGAACAATTTTTGTGCTGTTACTCATGACCTTTGCAGTGTTATCTCTATAGGACTAGAATTAGAATCATTGGACGTACCAATGTGAAATATTAGGTAGCGTAAAAACTTATCTTTTTAAATCACTTTTGTACTTTTTTTGGTAATTTTCTGGAACTGGAGGCTTAGATAACTTTGTGGCTAGTTACAAGCATGTTAATAGTTTCTTGGTTGCTTCTTAATTTTTACCTAGAATAAGTAATCTTACTCAGAACTGGAAACTTCTTACATAAATATTCTTTGATATTAGTTAAAGGAGACACAGATGTAAAATAGCCGTGTTTGTGGTTGTTTCGTCATGGTAAGTTTGCAAAATTCACAGATTGTAATGAACCTTTCTCAAGAATGTTACGTGAATGGTTAATTCTTGCATGTGTCCTTTTCATGAGTGTGGAAAGCACAAGGTATGCTTTGGTTCTTAAAAGACAGTGCTTGCTGCCTTAGGGCTTATGTATATTGGAACATAATTTATACAGTGAAATTCACTGATTTTAAATACACGATTTGAGGAGTTTTAACAAGTATGTGCTGTTGTGTTTTAACAAGTACATGCCGCTACCATGGCATCACTGCTCCGGGAGTCAGGGAATAAGGCTTCTCGTGCTCCTTTGTCATCAGTCTCCGCTCCTCACCTGGTTTCTCTGTAACACTGGTTTGCTGTCACTGTAGAGTAGGTTGCATTTTCTAGAATTCTGTAGGAAAGGAATGATGCAGTATGCACTTTTTGGTTTGGTTCGTCCATTTGGCAGAATTATTTGAGAGTCATCCATCTTACGTGTTTTCAGCTAGTATTCATTGCATGGTTATCTTACGTGTTTCCCGTTGATGGACACCATGGTTGGTGATTATGGACACAGTTATTATGAACATTTATATTCAGGTCTTCATAGAGATATTTGATTTCCTTTTTCTTGCTACCTCTTTATCTTGTGTACTGTAGCTTCATAATAAATCTTGAAATCAGTACAAATAATCTTTTCAAAATTTGTATTTTGGCTATTGAGAATAAGCTAGTCGGATCCTAAAAAAAAGATTCTGCCCTGATTTTGATTGGGATGATCTAAGAAATGTGGATTAATTACAAAAGAATTGACATCTTAACAGTGTTAAATCTCTTGGTCTGTGAACGCATAAATCCCCATTTGTACAGCTCATCTTCAGTGTCAGCAGTGGTCTGAGTTTTTTAGCAGAAAGTCTTGCATATATTTAATGAAATTTTCAGACTGTGAGAATGTATATATCCTTATTTTGCATAGCTAACATTTATTAGGTAATAGCAAAAATTTGGATGGTGTGAAGAGTGGATGATGAATTAACACCTTTGTCCTAGCAGCCCACAGTGACTACCATTATTTTTCTCAGGTCACTAAGGTGGCAGTTGAGGTATAGGGAAGGTAAGTAACTTGCTTAAGGACACATAACAAGTAAGTGGGGTCCTCTACATATGAACCTGGATCGACTGGTCTCAGTCACAGAACTTCTCATCCTAGTGCTGTGCTGCTGTATACCTGTTTCATAAAACACATTTAGTTAGGTGCTTTGCATGTACATGAGGATCCCTGTGTGTCTCCATAAGGGCCTTCCTGTGGTTTTTCCTGAGTGGTGGCTGTATGGGTAATGTAATGACTATGATGATTTGCACAGAGGTGGGCAAGGAAATGCTTGGTAGAAGTATATTGAGTTTGACTTGAAAATCCTTGAAAACTGCCATCACTAAACTTCACGTGGAAACACTGTGTGTTGAGTCGATGGTACCTGCTTTCAACTCTTGACTGTATTCTTGAGCAGTCTGCTTGTGCTCGAGAAAGAATTGTTTGTAGTGCTTCCCCCATTTGTCATTGTAAGTCTTGCCCATTTCAAGCGTTAGCTCTGCTTTGTGTTCCCCCGGAAGCCTTCTGAAGCATAGCTGTGTGTCTTACGAGCTCCTCTGTCCAAGCCTTTATCCTAGTGTACTTGCTGTTGGGAGACTGTATTCTTGGTGCCTAGCAGGGGTCCTGCATACACTAGAGATTTGAGAGGAGCTAGGAAGAGACACACGTTTACTTTTAAATGTTATTTTAAAAAAATGATATACAGTAATTCCTAGCATCACAAAAAATTAACATATAGTAAAATTGAATTTTTGTATAATTCCATGAATCTTAACACCTGTATAGTCTCCATCACCATAATCTCCCAAATATCTTCTCTATGTATCCCATTTTCCACATGATTTTCCTTACCCCTTACCTTTTGAGTCTGTCTTTTGTCCTTTATTTATTTATTTTTTTCTGTTCAGGTTTTTTTTCTATCAAGTTTTGAGAGTTCTTTATGTTCTGGATATAACTTTTTATTTGATCCGTCCTTCAGAAATATTTTTTCTTACCTTTTTATTCTTGTAACTGTGTCCTTTTGCAAAGTAAAAATTTTTTAATTTTGGTAAAGACCAGTTAATCAGTTTTTTCCTTTATGGAGCATACTTTTTTTTTTTTTTTTTTGTCTTTTTCATTTTTATTGGTACCAGGGATCGAATTCACTACCGCCTGCTTTCAAGGCAGGTGCTTATGCCGCTGAGCTAAATCGCCAGCCCCTATGGAGCATACTTTTAGGATAATGCCTAAAGACCTTATGCTTAGCCCTAGGTTGCACG